ATATTAAAATGATCAAAATTAATGATTTTTATACGTTTAGGAATAAACCTTTATTAAAAAAAATCTCATCAACTTTTTCTTTGTGCTTTTATTTTTAGATTTCATATTGTTTATTTCTTAAGGGGATATTTCCAGTTATTCTTCCAATGTAGTATCATATCCTTTTCCTTTATATAAAGGCAACAAATTATCACTGATTCCTTCCACTTTACTTCTCATTTTTTAAAGCTTCAACCTACTTTTATATATAAGGATAAATTATATATATATATATATATCAACATTAAAAACTCATAGAAACTTGGATAAATAGATACAAATATATTTGAATGTTTCGATAAACGAACTACAAGAGAATATCAAACAAACGAAAGATTATAGACAATCGCAAGTCAGAATCTAGCATCGTGAAAAAAAACTATTATTAAACGCAAACCACATATCTAAACTCAATTTGAGGATCCAAAGCATAAAAGATTAGTATGATAACAACTTAACATCATCAAATCAAATACTAAACAAAAAAATGACCAAAATATTAAAAACATGCAAGAGAAAAAGAAAAATGTGTCATAAAGATAAAAAAAAAAGTGTCATAGAAATAAAATTATTAAAAATAAAAAATGATATAAAAGATAAAGAAAAAACTATGTAAACTATTAGTGATGAACACCAAAATTAATGTGGTAGCCTATTAAACAAAACAAAAAGAAGCAAGGAGCAAACTGCTAAAGAAAAAAACTTTTACGCAATATTAATAATTGATGTATTAAAGGTTCATATCCCTATAACTACGATATGTAAAAATAAAAATAAAAATGGGACATAAATACATGACATATCAGATACAATAAATGTATGATGGGAAGATTTTAATATTAATTGTTGTAGGAAAAATTAAATAATGTATCTTTTATAATGATGTTATTATATTAATTATGATAATTAATAATTTCATTTATAGTTTTTAATACATTGAATTCAATACAGCACAAAGACCCTTCATAACAAAATTCTTCACTGGAAGGTATTTTAGATGCGCTCCTTTTATTTCATTTTCTTTCTTTTAGTGGAAAATTATTGAGAATTTACAACACACCCAAATAATCAACATATATCTTTTGAATCATTTCTTTTAAAAATAAATATTTGAAAAAAAGAACGAAAAACAATTACATGATCGATTTCTGCACTTCCTTATGATAAGTCAAATTTGTCCATATCTCAAACAATAATTCTTATATATTTAATCTCGTTTGGTGTGTTTTGACACTCTAGTTTTTGAAAGAAATTAATTCCTAATAATTATAAAGAAATTTAATCCTCTATCTTTGTTTGACTGTAAAATGTAATTAACACAAATCATTCTGCTTAATAATTAAAAAATTATTACGAGTAATTACGCAAAAAGCTTCTTCAATTTTCAATCCTTATTAGAAATAAAGAGTATAACTATGATCTAGTAATACTTAATCGAATAAACCAACAACCAGTTGGTTTGATAGGATAAATCACTAGATTCTTTGAGTAAGGTCATGAGTTTGCGAATAGAACAAACTGAATGAGGAGGGTCACCCTTATTTCTGCAATACCCAATCCCGATTAATCGATCAATGATTGAATATTGGTGATTATAAAAAAATATTTAACTGAATAAATTATGTTAATTACAATATTTATTAAATCGAATCTTAAAAATATAAGTATAAATAATTATTTAATTACTAGATGAATTTTTAAACAAAAAACAATTTTTCTTAATATTCACTTTTCATTAATAATTTTTTTAATAATCTCATAATGCAATCAAATCATGATATTAGAATCTAGAAAGTAATTATTATATTAGCTTAATTATCTGTTTCCAACTTCACATAAATGCTATATCGTATATGACACCATAGTGTTCCATTTAGATTATGAAACTTGATTCTTTTTATTTGAAAAATGGACGAACCAATTTAAAAAATATTAAATTTTACTAATTATGGATTTAAAATGTAATTAACCTTTGATGGAAATAATCATGCATCCTTTTCGTGAAACAGTATTAAATAGATTTTTAACATCATTTAAGTTATAAATTCAACTAATTTAATTAATATACACCTTAAAATTTTTTAAAGAAAAAAAACTATTTTCACAAAACAAAAGTACATGGTAATAGTAATTATAATAATGGAAATAATAATTTATATTTTTAATCATTTTAATATTAAATAGATTTTTAACATCATTTAAGTTATAAATTCAACTAATTTAATTAATATACACCTTGAAATGTTTTAAAGAAAAAAAAAACTATTTTCACAAAACAAAAGTACATGGTAATAGTAATTATAATAATGGAAATAATAATTTATATTTTTAATCATTTTAATATTAAATAGATTTTTAACATCATTTAAGTTATAAATTCAACTAATTTAATTAATATACACCTTAAAATGTTTTAAAGAAAAAAAAACTATTTTCACAAAACAAAAGTACATGGTAATAGTAATTATAATAATGGAAATAATAATTTATATTTTTAATCATTTTAATATTAAACTAAAAAATTCTGAACATATAATACTTTATAGTTATCGTAGTTTATTAAAAATATATTTTTTGAATAATTTAAAATGATTATAAAATAAAATTTGAATCCCAACAACCGAATATAACAAAATGTCCGTCCGTAATCACTATTGAATTTCTCTACTTGATTCTACTCCTACTTATGTCCATTCGTTTATTGTAAGAGATATATTGGGAGCCTCCATATTGTAGATAAGTTTGTATTTAACTCTTTTGTTTAGTGCCACCCTCTAATTAAAAAAAAAAGTAATACTTGTTCATAATTTATTTAATCTTTTAATAACATGTACACGCTTTACAAATATAATTATTTAAACTCTAAAATAAAAAGAATAACACCTTATATACCATTGAAATTATTTAATAAATTTATTATTTAAAAACATTAAATTAGAGAGTCGTATCAAGATTAAAGATTTGCATAAGTTAATGTATATTATCTTTAGGCACAACATGTCACATTAAAAAATCTAGTGAAATGGTTGACGTGTCTCACCGAATAGTAACATGATTTGATGTTGGAATCCTTGACTCAATCAACCAATTCTGTAATCATGCACCATATGAATTATTTAAGTTTTAAAGAATAATGTAAATATAATAATTTTTTTCTAAAGCTTTGATTGATTTTTTTTTAAAGGAAAAAAATAGTGGGACACGGCAATAATTTAGAGAAAATGAGTGGAAAGATTCCATGTCGTGTTCATCATTAACAAAGAAACATTACAAATACCGAAAGAATATTAAAAGAAACTAATAAAAATAATGATTATAAGATGTCAAGTAAGATGTATATGATATCGTCTAGGGTTGTTAAATTATTTTTAATAATTTAAAAATATTTTAAAGATAGTTATTTTTATACATAGTGTTATCTGATTAAATTTTTTTTAAATAGAAATTATAAATAATGGCTAATAATAATAATAATTAGCTAGAAGTCAACGGTGGGAGTAGCTGGGTCAAACAGCGTGGAACAGACTCCAAAAATGACTTGGATTGGAATGGAGAGGTTGACCGACGCATCTCCGTTATACAGCTGCAAATTACGTCTTTTACCGGTTCTCCTTTATTTTGTTGTTCAGAGAAGACTCCTCTTACAATATATTTATACAGAAAAAAACGTAACGATAAAATATAATTTTATGAATAAATAACATATTTATTTGTGAGTAGAAATAATCAAATTTATACATAAATTTTCATGCCTGTTAGTTCGATTCAACGTGGTATTTATCAGTGTTTCTTACTGCAGTTAGCAAGCATTTGGATGACATTTTTTTATATAATTCTTAACCTTTTAATATTAAGGATCATACTCTAAATATTTATTATACTCAGAACTAAAGTTTTCAAAGAATATTAACAATTTTTTTTATCATAGAGACCATTTAATTCGTACGAAACTTTTAAATATTCAGAGCTTGATTTTTTTAAAACATGCTCAACATTTAATAACAAAAACTAGATTATTTAATCATTATCATTATTATTATTATTTAAAGATCATGAGATAAAATATAATACTCAAATTAAAAAGTTTTTGTGAATTTATGAGTAATTAGGATTTGTATAAAGAAAACTTAAATATGGAAGGCACATATATATATATATATATATATATATATATATAAATATTGCATCAAAATAACATGCACTTATATTTAAATGAGAGGCTACAACGACATGATCATCCAATGTGGTCCCCACATTTCAATAAAAAAATCTTGCATCTCGACAACTCACCATTCCGCCACCTCTTCATATAAAGGACAACTTAAATAAAAAAGACTACGTCAAAAATAATTTCTAATATTTATAAAAATATTATTTTGTTCATATTCTTTTCTATATATATATATATTTTAATTCTTAATGTTTTATTTGAAATCAAAAGGCTTCTAATGTTTTAATTATATTTACCGAATTTTTACATTCAATATTTCATTTTAAGATTAAAAAAGTTACAAGTTTTATAGTGTTAATTTTTTAACTAATAATTTTTCTTCATAAAAGATATTTTTATTCTAAAATAAAACATTGATAGCTAAATTTAACATTATGCTAACCAAAAAAAAACCTTTAACTTAACGGTTTCCGTTACGGAAACCCACCTTCTTTTTTAGTTGGGACCCACCTGACCGAAGCTGCCCGGTATTATGGGACCCATCAACCCATAAACGACGAAGACAATAGAAACTAACCCGAAAACCCGACCCGAACCCACCTCCCCAACCCTCCTCTTTTTCCTCGCCATTTCTTCATTTTCGCCTATATATCTCCCTTTCCCTGATCTCCATTCGTCAGATTTAAATCTCAGCAGAGCAGAAAAACAGAAAAGAAAAAAAAGGAAGGGATTTTCAAGTTTTTAGTTTAAGAAAAATTTCCCAAAAATTCTTCCTTTCTCTCCTTTGATTTTTCCCTTAACGAGAGATCGTAAAATTTCTCAAGGGTCCTCTTTTGAATTTTTTTTTGTATATTTATTTATATAAATCTCAGTTTGTTTTTCTTATCGGTGGTGTTTGGGATTAATTAATATGGGAACTGAAGTTTTACGGCCTCAGGATTGTTTGATTGAACGTTTCCGCGTACCGCCGACGGCATGTCCTCGCCGGAGATACGGAAACGGTAGCTTTAATCCTAGTTATTATTATGCCCATAACAATAACAATGGAAACGCTAGATTCAACAGGAAACCCGCTCAGAAGAAGCGGGTCGGGTCGGAGCAGCAGGTTTCGAAGAAATACGGCTCTACCGATGACTTGAAGACGGTGAGGAACAATGTTACGATGGAGAAGGTTACGATTTTGAGACGAGGTGAGTCGTTGGATACGAAGATCAAGAGCATCGACGGTGCCGGTGGTAGAAGGGAAGACGGTTTGATTGTCACCGGCACCGATCGGTTGGGTCCGGATCCGGAGATGGTCCCGAAACAGATCAATATTGTTGATATCAAGTCTTCTGTGACGGGAAAATCCGACGTGTATGCCGGATCTGCTTTCTTCGTCTCTCCAGCGCCGAGTTCTCTTCCTTTGCCTTCTTTCTCGAAGAAGAAAGAGGATCCGGTCGATAATTCAGCTACCAAGGGTCTCCGGCGGTTGCTCCGGCTGGATCTCTGAGATCCGATCCTTACCCTAGTTAGATTTGGATCCGAATAAGCCTTCGTCTCTCTCTTATTTATACGTTAACCGTTCGTCTCTATTTAGTCATCTTCTGGATTTTCCAGATCTGATACCATTCGTGATATTTTTTCAAGACGGTGGACGGATTTGAAAATCTGGGAAAATATTAGGGGCGGCTAGGTAATATATCAATGTGTTAAAAAAAGAGTACGGGGGCTTTAAGAAAGAAGAAAAATCAAGGGGGTTTGGTATGTAATATTAGGGGAATAGCGGGCGTCAGTTGAGTTTTCAAATCTTGGGACGTGAAAATGGATTTTCTGCTCCGCTGTGAACAAAAAGTATGCAAGAGATTTGCAATTAGTCCCTTTTATGTAAAAATAAGATAAAATTAGGGAGAAATATGAGCAGATTTCTATTATTATTATTATTATTATTATTATTATTATTATTATTATTATTATAAACTTCACCTCTATTTTAGTTTGTAAATCAGAAAGGATTTCTTAAGTTGAAATTCCCCTTTTTCCTATTTATAAAGAATTCCCTAAATCATATATATTCAGATTTCTTCTTGTTTAAATTAGAAATACTAATTTATGAAATTCCAGCAACTAACTTAAAGATAGACTCAACTTGGTGAACTTTTTACATGTATATATAAAAAATGTTAAATTTAGGGTAAATTATGCATTAAATATTTAAATTATTAATTTTGGTTTCATTAAATATTTAAACTTTTAATTTTTCTAAAACCAAACTTTTAAGTTTTTATTTTATTTTAGTACATCGTCGTTAAAAATTTAATAAGTTTAGTACTTAAATTATCAGTTTTAATTTATTTTAATATTTAAACTTCTATTTTTTTTAAACTTAAGGTCAGATTTTCAGTGGGTATTAACATAAAACAAAAAATTAAATTTTATATATGGTTTTAAAAAAATTAAAAATTTAGATATTAAAACATTAAAATTGATAGTTTAGATACGAAACGTGTAATTTACCATGAAATTTTTAAAATATTGAGATATAAAATTAATAATTTATTTATTAAAGTATATATATTTTGGTACGATTAGTTTATTGAATATTGATGGGAAGGAGAAATCGAAAAGAAAATTAGTGGAAAAGTTGGGTGCAAATGCAATGTTTTAAAAATGCAAGTAAAGAAGTAGCATTGGTTCAAATTGGTTTGATAAGTTAGTCTTAAGTTTCTTCCTAATTTCCTTTAGAAAAGGGTGTTCCATTGGGAAAGGAATATTTTTCCCCCCAATGGATTCTTAACTTATTCTTTACTTATCCTCTCTATTTTTGAAAACTTTAATTTTTTTTATAAATGGAAACGAAATAGTTAGGTAAAACCTAAAGCTCAACTAAACCAAAGACTTAGGCTTAGTTTGTTTTTACTGTGCAATCTCTTTAAACCTCTTATGTCTGCGCTGCGCAGATCACGCGCAGACATTAGGCTTCGTAGACCGTTTGTTTTTTAAAAGGCAGAAGCTCTTCTAACGTCTGCGCGAGCTCTTCTTGGTGCAGACATAATTTTATGTCTTCAAAGGTCTTCAAACCTCTTCAAGAACAATTATAAAATATGGTTATTTATTAAAATAATTTTAAATAATTTAATAAGGTTATTTATTTTAAAATAATTTATTTTAATTAATTAATTAGTATGGATTGATTTATTTTAAATATTTTATTAGTATGGATTGATTTATTTTAAAATATTTATTAGTATATATTGATTTATTTTAAATAATTTATTAGTATGTGTTGATTTATTTTAAATAATTTATTAGTATGGATTGATTTATTTTAAAACATGGATTGATTTATTTTAAATAATTTATTAGTATGAATTGATTTATTTTAAAATATAGATTGATTTATTATTGTAGTTGTATGTATTGATTTATTATTGTAGTTGTATGTATTGATTTATTTTAAATAATTTATTAGTATAGATTGATTTATTTTAAAATATGGATTGATTTTTTTAAATAATTTATTATTGTAGTTGTATGGATTTTTTAAATTTCAGTATTGTAAAACTAAAATTATTTAAATCTTAGTATTGCAAAACTCTTTTAAGTTTAAAAAAATCAATTTATTTATATTTCAATTAATTTTAGCAATATGCAGACGTTAAAAAACAAACAGTCTTCTTCTTGCAAACTGCAGACTTTTGGTCCACCTCTTCTGTTGCAGATGCTTGCAGATGTAGTCCGCAGACTGCAATCATTTTACCTCTGCAAAAACAAACACCACCTTAATGTTGTTGTTCAGCTATTAGCCCATTGCAACTGTCTCTCTGCATAAATGGAAGTATCTCCACATGCAACTTTATTTTGTTCGGGAAAGTATCACGTGTGGCAGCCTTAATATACGGTTAAGAAAAAAACTATTGATTTTGTTATTATTTTTTTAACAAAACAGGTAAAAAATTACCGAAACATTATTATTTTTACCGATTTTATTATTTTGGGTGCTTTATCGGTTTTGTTAACATATCCGGTAAAGTGCTACCAGTTTTGTTATTTTTCTACCAGTTTTGTTATTTTTTCTATCAGTTTTGTTATTATTGACCACTTTACTAGAAATGTTAAAAAACATTAATATTTTAAGTAGAAATAATAATGTTTCCGGTAATTTTTTTACTGATTTTATTAAAAAAATAATAACAAAACCGATAATGGATTTTCTTAACCCTATATTAATACTGACATACGATATAATTTCCCATTTTGTTCCCGGGGCACAACTCAATATTTGGTTGCAGGCAGGTATAAAGTAAATGAGAAAAAGGGTGGATTCATGTGCCGAGTTTACGACAGATCACATAACTGAGCATTAATCAGACAATGGCCCAACACTAGAACACTTGTTTTAGATGTCCATGATGGGTCCATTTCAACTTATTTTAACCCAACTGCTCATTCATATTCATGCCTTACTCCAATATATTTAAGGGTGTATCGTTTAGCAATTATATTTATAGTGTGTATTATTTATATTTAAGAGAAATCATGAATATACACTATCTTGTAATCACCTCAGATTCATTCAAAAGGGAACTAATTAAAATAAAAATAAAAAACTATAGCTATAAACATAAATTAAGCATAAAATTAGAACATTTCATATAATCATTGACACATGAAACTAATCATTTAAGATCAAAGAGAAAGAAAAAGACGGCACAAAAATATTGAAAGAAAACTAAGTAATTTTTTTTAAGTGACAAATGTATGAGATGGAATGAGCAGTTGGGTTAAATTATGAGAATAAACAATTATTTTTATATAAAAAAGTAAAGATTATTAGTAAAATAAAGGTTAAGTGCGACAGTACGATCGGTCGATACGGAATAATCGACATTTATTGATGTGAATGCTTCTAATTTTCATACAAACCATAAGAAAGATGTGGACAAAGTAATCTCCACCACGGTCACTACATAGAACAAATCCTTCATTTTTCATACAGATTAATTTTGATTGAATTGAATTATTATTTTTAATTATTGTATATATATATTTTTTATAATTCTCATATAAAAATTAATCATAAAATTAAATGAAAATAAAAAGCTAAGTTTTGCATCACCCATCCTCAATTTTAATCACCATTCTAAATCTGTCCATAAACTTTTAAATATTTCAATTTAATCCTCAAAATAGACTACCATTCTAATTTATTTCTCAAGCTTTTGAGTATTCCAGTTTCATCTCCGATTATAACCTTCATTTTAAATTAATTCCCAAACTTTTTGAACATTTTAATTTTGTTCTAAACTATATGCAATTATGCATATACTAGTCAATCATTTGTTAATAAAATTGTTAGGCCAATTTATATTATTATATGCTTAAAAAATTAAAATTTAGGTTAAACTATAATTGAAACAAATTACATATTTGGATGAACTTAGAATAAAATTGGAAGATTCAAAAGTTTGAATACCAAGTTAGAACAGGGGACGTAGTTTAGAAATGAAACTGAAATATTCATGTGATGCAGTTAACTCGATTAAAAATATAGTAGAGTCTCGATATCTTTTTCTGTTTTAAATACCGAAACAAGTATTGCAATTTTGACAACTAATTGAGGAAGGGGTAAAGGTTTTCGGAAAAAATATCGAAATTTAGATATAATATCAATCGAATTAAAATTCAATTGAATCGGAAAGTATATTAGAGATTATAAATGCCAATAAAAGGTGTCATCACTGATCCAATCCACAGCTTCCCTTCCTTCTCTTCCACTTCACTTTCAAGAACTTGAAGCATTTCACCATTTTCACTCAGCTTTACAGCAATGCCATGGGGCTTCCCTCCTACAAACAGCGAGTGCAGTTGCTTGAAACCAAGGGGAACCTTTAATCATGCTCTTCCAAACAACCCGTACGACAATACCAACTTAGCAAAAAGTCCCTTTTTAGAATGCAATGCCACCCAAAACTCCCCTTTCGTATTCCTTCTTATGTTATCCGGGAATCCCGGAACCTCGGCGAAGACATCGACGTTTCCGACATTCGGACCGCGAAGCCATAGTCTTAGAACGCGACAAGTGGCGGTTTCAGCGACGAGTAGGAAGGATCGATCCTCGCTCAGTGCGACACCATTGGCGAAAGCTAGGTCTCGCAGTAAAACCTTTGCTTCCTTGCCTGATTTGTTGCATTTTATCAACCTGCCGGTTTTGTCATGGCTGAGGATTGATGGCAAGAATTGCCAGCACAAAAGAATTAAACAATCTTTGAGGGACCCCTTTGCTAATTTTGCTTGTTCCTAGGAAGATATATCTGAAGTTCAACACTAACACTGTTATATCTAGTTACACACCGTTATAGATAGTGTTATTCTCTCTAGAAGTTTCGAGTTTGAGCAGATATGTCCGTACGGTGCACATGCGTTGTCAATGATTAAAAAAGATTCTTAATAAATCTTATCTCGTAATCACTTTAGACTACTCAAAAATAAAATAATCTATGTAATAAAAAAAAGTATATTGACTTTCACCCTACTTGGAATAGAACTAAAGAACCTTGCAACTTTTTCCTTTTAGAAATAAATGGGCTTAAAGTTGAGG